TCCGGAGGCAAAAGACCCACTTTTAAGTCAGGCCCCAACCTCTCTTTGGCAAACGACTAAAATAATGTTCCTCGTCTTGTTGACCCATTTCTGTGCTAAAGGAGGGAAAACAGACCTGACGAAAAGTAGGTTGAATGTTAAATAGGCATATTTTCGACAAATGCTTCCCATGTCCCCTCAGTTATACAGTGAGCTTATGCCTCGTTGACTGCTTCATTGGGAAGGGACAGATGGTAAAGGCCCGACTGGGTGGGATATCTGAAGTAATATGTCACAGTGGAGGGGTAATCGTGAGTTCCGCCCCCTCCACCCTTGTCCCCTGGACGTCTCTGATTGGTTGGTCATCTGATGCATGCGTGGCTTTAGCCGGCCTGAGTGCGCCAGCGTCCCAGGTCTGAAAGCGAGGGGCACAGCTGACGGGAGCACTTGTTATTTTTGTGCTTTTATTAGTATGCCGCTGAGAGTACGGTGAATGCATACGCGCGCGTTGTCCCCCTTAAACGGGCTGAGCTGTAGGTGCGCTGGACCAACACGGGGGCATTGGGGTTTACGGCAAGCGTTAACCAGGCTGCGTCATCTCAGGACCAAGGGTCGGGCCCAGTGACCGCTACGAAAGTCTTACTTACGTGGGATCCGAGCGACCCACTTTGCAGGAGAACCCAGATTTAATTACGAGACTAGGTCGCGTGTGGTACTTGTAGACGAGTCGTTAAGTTTGATCGGTTACTGCGCCTGATCCTGCCCCCGGCCCTCCTGACTCCGCCTTGTCACCGGGCCAGGTGAGTTGGGGAGGTGAGAGAACGAAAGATGTCGCTAACTTGTGCTATCACGACAAACTAGTCCACACACACAAGTAACCGTCCTGCGCTCACCAGGCTTGGAGGCACACCGTGGACATCGTAGTTCTCAACAGCCGTATTCTCGTATGCGAGACGGTGCTTTACGTCGGAAAACTAGGTCGGGAAAGTAAGTATAGCTGTTTGCTTCTTGCCGCCTTCCAGTCGGAAGTGAAATTCCCCTGCTTATCTAGATAGTAGAGTCAGGAGAGTTTTTCACTAGTAAGAATAAAAATTGAATGGAGAGAATTAAAACCATGTTGAAGAGAAACGGTTGTCCAGAAAGACGTATCTCCAAAAATCTGTCAAAGTGATAGTCTTAATCTGGAAAATTTTCCGAGGAAAAGAACATGTCGTCTGTCAACTTCTTTTCCCGCCACAACGCGCAA